CCCCTTCTCCTTCTCACATTACCCCCCCTTCTCCTTCTCACATTACCTCCCCTCCTCCTTCTCACATTACCTCCCCTCCTCCTTCTCACATTACCTCCCCTCCTCCTTCTCATGTTACCCCCTCACTCTCACATTACCATCACCCCCCACACCATCACCTCCCTGTCACCATCACCCGCATCTCACCATGACCCGCCTCTCCTTCTCACCATCACCCCCCATACACACAACACACTTCAAGCAGCTACCCCATACACATAGGGTCTCAGGTGAGGCTGAGGGTGGTGAGGCTAGTGGGGGGCTGGGGAGACTGAGGGTGGTGAGGCTGGTGGGGGGAGGCTGAGGGTGGTGAGGCTGGTTGAGTGGAGGCTGAGGGTGGTGAGGCTGGTGGGGGGGTGGGGAGGCTGGTGGGGTGTGGGGAGGCTGGTGGTGGTGAGGCTGGTGGGGGGAGGCTGAGGGTGGTGAAGGAGCCTACCTTCTCTTTCCTGGTGGTCCAGTGGCCGCTTCTTCCGGTGTAATATCGCGAGACCATCAGAGCGTTGCTGTGTCTGCGATGGTGGCCGGGCAGCCAGGAGGGGCCTCGCACCCGGCGGCATACCGGGCAAGCCGCCGGGCCCCCTCCTGGTGTCAGGTCCTCGGTCACTGACCGAGGACCTGACACAGTCTGCCATAAGGCGGTTTAGGCGGCCACGAGGCCCCAGCCAGTGCAAGGCCTTAGGCGGCCTCCTAATCCGCCTAATTAGAGAGCCTCCTCTGTTTGCGGTTGTTTGCGGTGCGTTAAACGGGAAGTTTGGTCTGTCACTGTGAAGCGGGCGTAACCCTTACACTACCTGATCGATACAACATCATACCTGATGTTTTAAAGCACGTTATTCCAAACAATTTAGGAATGTTAGGTGATTTATGCCTTTTATGGATTAAAACCAGACTCTGCATCAACTATGTAATTTTCCATGGGAGTTTTGCCATGGATCCCCCTCCGGCATGCCACAGTCCAGGTGTTAGTCCCCTTGAAACAACTTTTCCATCACTATTGTGGCCAGAAAGAGTCCCTGTGGGTTTTAAAATTCGACTGCCTATTGAAATCTACGGCGGTTCGCCCGGTTCACGAACATTTGCGGAAGTTCGCGTTCACCGTTCGTGAATCGAAAATTTTATGTTCGCAACATCACTACTGCTAAATAGTACATTTTGGGGCATGCTCTTCATATCTGAGAGTCAAATAGAATCGTCTAATAGTGCGCTTACTGCACAGTTGTAAAAATTCTAATTGTTTGCTGCTAATCTGCAAAATAGTACATTTGCGGCCTGCGGTGCAATTCATATCTGAGAGTCAAATCGAAGCGTCTAATTGTGTGCTTATAGCGCAGTTGTGAAAATTCTTATTTTCCTGGTGCTAATCTGCTAAATAGTATAATTTGGGGCCTGCTCTTCATATCTGAGAGTCAAATAGAAGCGTCAAATAGTGCGCTTACTGCGCAGTTGTAAACATTCTAATTGTTTTGCTGCTAATCTGCTGCTTACATTGGAGTTTTAAAAAGTACATTTTTTATTTTATTAATTTTTTTTTGGTGCTAAATAGTATATTTGGGGTGTTCACTTCATATCTGAGAGTCAAATCGAAGCGTAACTTTGATTCGAATGTACTACATCGGTCACTTGTAATATTGTTTCACACCTACAACACTTGTTACACAGATCTAAGTGATCGAAAACAGATTGATATTTTCTACACTAGAAACTACCAGATAACAAGCGGCTATATTTAAACCAGTTATCAATAGCTAAGAGGTTCTTAAACAATATTGCAATTCTGGGGCAATACCCTCACAAGTCAAACTGAGAGGTCAGTTTAAAGGGAAAACTGTTGCCTGGATACAATTCTAAAACAATTTCCATATGTCCTTTGCAGACTTCACATGCTGGAAAAACACAGGTGCCAACTGCTGTGGCTTTATGCAGTGTGCATACCAGCAAGGAGGGCAGGGTTGAGGAGTGGGTGGAAGATGATGTGCAGGATGATGAGGTTCTAGACCCCACATGGAATAAAGGTCATGCGAGTGACGTGTGCAGTTTGGAGGAAGAGGCGCTGGTCGCACAGAGGCACCAGCACAGCATAAGAGGGAGCAGGGTGCAAAAGCGGAGCAGCCGTCCCCTAGCGGCTGTCGGCATGTATTAGCCCGATAATTACCAGTTATCCAAGTAATACATGTAGCGATCAAAGGATCCATAATAGAATTGAGCGAACCTGAACTGCAAAGTTTGGGTTCGTATCAGATTTAACGATCCATTCGTAGTTTCACAGTCAGGTGGGCAGTCCGGTGACCAGGACCCAGACACTGTCTGGGCGGCTGTCTGACAACTGGGACCCAGTATGCCTGATGTTGAAGTTAGGAGTCACAGTGTGGAATGGATTAGCAGGGTCTGGTGAAGGGTAACCGCATGCCCACTGGTGTTGAGCACCAGCGTTTGTGCGGCCACATACCAGGACCCTGATGCAGCTTCAGTAAAAAGAGTACTGGATACCAGAAGCCATCACCAGACTGATCCACAACTTGGAACAGGATGTGACATTCACTGTAGTGGCTGTGCGCGCTTTTGGCGTTCTCACCCTGTTGCTGCTCGCCTGTCTGCGCTGCAGCATAACTTCTCCCTTCCCGCTCACCACCTCATGAGACTGTGCGAGCAGCAGCAGGCAATAGTGGAGTTTCAGCTGCAGCACGCACGGGTCAGTGGCTCTGCACCAGACTTTCCTCCAATGGATCAGAGTTAAAGGATTTCAAGTGGACTCATTACAATTACAGGGCCTCTAAAGAGTCCTGTATTGTTATTTGTCGTCTCTACATTGTCAGGGTACCGCAGGCGGCTGCGAGGGGAGGTTGCAGTCCGCTCGTGGCACTCACCCTCCAGTCGTCCGCGGTCCCCTTCCAGCCACGGATGCCGCCCGCGTCTTCCTCTGTGTCCCCCAGCGTGCAGCGTCATGCCCATTTTAACAAACGCCGGGGTCAGTCACCTGACCCGGCATTAAAGGCACAGTGCCTCAATCACAGTGGGAGGTTTAGATATCTCCCACGTGTGATTGTTAATTCTGATTGGAAATTATCCAATCAGAATTAACCTATGGATATAAATACTTACCTTTCCTGTTCCTCTCCGCCTTGTTGTGGTCTTTACTTGCTAGTATTGCTACTGAACTTGTGTTTCTGGTTACGTACTCTCTGGCTTGTTTATCCAACTTTGTGCCTTTCTCCTACCCTTTTACCTCGGCTTGTCTATCTTTATTTTGTCTTCTGGTTCCCCTTTACTCGGCTTGTTTCCTGACTATTCTTTGTGTGCTTAGCCCGGCCACTCTAAGGTCCGGTACTGCACTTTGTGTGTGTGTTGGCGTGTTTGGTTCCCCGAATCGTGACATACATCCCCGCATCGGGAGTGGGTCATTTGCGCACCTGCTGCCTTCCTTGCATGTGGTAGCCGTTTCTCAGGGTCCCTGTACGGAATGGAACCCTGATTCCTCGTTACCCGTGGTCACCATGGTAGGCGCAGAAACTGGCACTGAAATTTGATATGGATGACATCCGAGTGCAAAGTCGCCGTCACGGGGATGTGCGATTGGCCCGAGGTTCTCTAGAGTCAACAAAGTGCCTGGGCAACTAATGTCAACAGCTATATATAATCTCTGTGTCGGCTACCTCCTCCACTGCTGCTTCCACCTACACCACCACGGTCACCGCCTCCTCAACCTATGGGTCACTTAGTATAAACTATGTACACAATAGCAGAGGCTTGTGAAGGCCTTTTCTCCATGCATCAGGAGTTGAGCATTTCTCTACATAGACTTCAGGACTGCAAGAAATGCACCGCAGGCCACAAATATTTCTTTTTTTGTATGTCCCAATACTTTGTGGGCTACCACAATTAAAAAAAACAAAAACAAAACATAATAAACAGTGTTGGCTACCTCATCCTCCTCCTCCACCGCTGATTCCACCTACACGGTCACCGCCTCCTCAACCCATGGGTCACTTAGTATAAACTATGTACACAATAGCAGAGGCTTGTGAAGGCCTTTTCTCCATGCATCAGGAGTTGAGCTCAGTTTGAACAATGAAAGAGAATGCACTCCAACCCTCTCTCAAATGGATAATTCTGGTGATCCTCCTGACAGCCATGCTTTAGATTTTGATTTATGTTCTTCCAAAGCTAAAATCAAAGATTCCATCTAGTGCTATTTTATGGCTGTATTTTAAATTTTTAGGTATTTTATATTATTTTAAGTGATTTCCCTATCCACATTTGTTTGCAGGGCACTTGTCCTACTCTTACCCCCATTTTACTTCTTTGCAGCTCTCTAGACCTTTCCAGGAGTTTTTTAGAGGCATTTTGACTTCAATGGGGTTCAGGGTCAAGTTCGATCACAAACCCAAATTTTTTTTTCAAAGTTCGGCCGAACCCGCCGGACCAGAACATCTAGGTGTCTGCTCAACTCTACACAATAGCAATCAATTCACAAATAAACTCAAAAGCCCACAGAACAGAGAAATAGGTACTTATCTGACTGTGGAGCAGCAAAGAAAGAGGAAGGTCTTAAACCTATAGACTATTATACTGGGTCTTGGTCAGGGAGTGGCCTATGTTATTATGCATGCATTATTTTTCCTTCTGTTTGTATTTTCTCCTGCTATTTGTGCATAGTAAAGAAAGGGATATGCAATATGAGCCTCAGTGTCTTCAATAAAACAGATGTATATTGAAGTACAGACTCCTACAACAATTTTATTGTTGAGGTACTTCCCACTGCTGCCTTGTGGTGTGAAACTTGGAATAAATGGTCTATCTATAATTATATATAAATAATGAAAAAAAGACAAATAAAACCAGACATTACTTCTAGAAAATTAAGCAAATAATCCCTGGAGTGTTTATATGTTTTCATCATTGAATCTTGTATTGAAGATTCCTAATTCTCAGCCATGTAGGAGTTTAATCACTTTGTTTATGGATCCCTAGTTAACCTCCCTGCATGTGACTTGCACAACCTCCCTAAACACTTCCTGTAAAGAGTCGTCTAATGTTTACACTTCCTTTTTTTGCAAATTCTGTTTAGTGTAGAATTTCATATCTCTTGCTCTGTTATTTGTTTGCTAGACCCTGCAGTAGCCTCCTGTATGTAATTAAAGTTCAATATACAGAGCAAGCGATAAACTTACAAAGTAAGTTACATCTGATTGAAAATGAAACCCTTCTTTTTTTTTTCATGCAGGTTGTGTGAATTACAGCCAGGGGTGGTGTGACTAGGGCTGCATTAACAGAACACCATTTTAACTCCTAAATGGCAGAGAATTGAGCAGTGAGACTTCAGAGTAATGATTTGTACACACAAACTGTTCAATTAAACTCAAGTTGTTTTGGTGACTTTAGTGTCCCTTTAATGGAGCTAGCCATCTCAACAACATTTTAAATACATTTTTCTATCTTTGTATTGCTACAAACTGGAACTGGAAATGAGTATGGCTTCAGCATGGATTCCGTTTTGATTTACATAACATAATTAAAAAGGAAACCATAAAAAAAATAGGCCAACATAAGACAGTCATTGATTTTAATAAGCCATTCTCCCAAGGTTACATTCCCAAAACATTGGATACTACATGATGAATACTTCTCCAGGCAAAATACATTTTTAGGCAAACTCACTTGTGACTTTTGGGCTATGTGCACTTTGCCCTAGCGCACCCATTACTAAAGGAGACATAAAAGCCCTGATGATTGAGATTCATGAGTTTTTCAACTTGGTTCTATTAGTTCTCAGAAAGGACATCAGCATACTTGGTAGGAGAAATAAAACCAAATAGGGGGAAATACTGTACTTTTTAACAAATTCTTACAAATGAGGATGGATACCAATAATGATAAGAGCCTGCCATGAGATATAAAGTGCGAAGTAGACTCAGGTGTTATATTAACCTCAATAAAACGGCCTTATATATGCTTACCATAATGCGTCACTGGAACTAAAATGATCACATCCACTGGCCTATGTAGAATTACTTTCACATATTCTTTACTTATGGCACATAAGTACACATAAAGCCAATAATCAAAGCATTATAAAATAATGTACATTACATGGGTATAAAAGAAAGTGCAATGGGGAAATATGATTTACCTTGTGCTATTCAGAGTTCATTATTTTGACCATCATTGGTCCAAACCTTTTACGTGGCATTTCTACAACCAAATTGGTCTGCTACCTGGAACTTCCAGGGTCCCTCACTTGGAGTTTTCATGTACACCTTAACAGGGCCAGCGCTACCATTAGGCGAATAAGACATTCCCTTGGGGCACCGGCCTCTGAGGGACGCCCACTGGGAAGTTTCCCGGTGGGCTGCCCTACTGCTGTCTTAGGCTGGTGTGCTGGGTGAGCGGCTCCATCCAGCCTCTGGGCTCTCTCTGCAGCTGCTTTCCTGCTCAGGAGCGGGGTATGATGTAACCCCAGCACCCAAGCAGAACACTGTGCTCCCTGCAGGCAGAGAAGACTGGAACATGACTTAGTAACCCAGCTGCCCTCTGCCTGTGAACAGTGGAAGCACTCACAGTGCATGGCTCTCCTGCTCTCCCCACCATAAACAGCAGCTACCTGCAGGCTGGAGCCATCCTTCCTTCGCAGCACTTATGAATGATCCATCTGAAGGTAAGTGGAACTGATTATGAGTATGAGTGTATGATGGTAAATTAGTCTGTGTGTATTTAATTGCTGTGCTTGTGTGTAAATAAAGTGTGACTATGTGGAAAGTAATGTGAGTTTGTGCTTGAGTGACAGTGCGTGTGTTAGTGAGAGTGTGTAAGTGGCACTGTGAATGCCACTGAGTGTGTGTGTGAGTAAGTGAAACTGTGTGTATGTCAGTGACAGTGTGTATGTGTAAATTATATTGTTTTGTTCTGTAAATTATATTGTGTATGTCAGTGAGAGCATGTAAGTGACACTGTATGTCAGCGAGAGTGTGTGTGTGTGTAAGTGAAACTGTGTATGTCAGTGATAGTGAGTGTGAGTGACACTGTGTGTGTTAGTGACTGTGACATTGTGTATGTCAGTGAAAGTGTGTAAGTAACACTGTTTGCTATTGAGAGTGTGTAACTGACACTGTATGTCAGTGAGAATGTATGTTAGTGAAAGTATGTATGTATGTCAGAGTGTGTGAGTGACCGTGTGTGTGCGTTAGATACGTATAAATTAAATTATATTTATATTATATATTAATAGAATTCTATATTAAACAGAATTTTTTTACGCAGTAACAAATTAAATCTCAATATTGTTACAAATGAAATTCCACAAAATGCATTGAAAAAGAGTATGTATATACAGTTGCAAGAAAAAGTATGTGAACCCTTTGGAATGATATGGATTTCTGCACAAATTGGTCATAAAATGTGATCTGATCATCATCTAAGTCACAATAGACAATCACAGTCTGCTTAAACTAATAACACACAAAAAATGAAATGTTGCCATTTTTTTATTGAACACACCATGTAAACATTCACAGTGCAGGTGGAAAAAGTATGTGAACCCTTGGATTTAATAACTGGTTGAACCTCCTTTGGCAGCAATAACTTCAACCAAACGTTTCCTGTAGTTGCAGATCAGACGTGCACAACGGTCAGGAGTAATTCTTGACCATTCCTCTTTACAGAACTGTTTCACTTCAGAAATATTCTTGGGATGTATGGTGTGAATCGCTTTCTTGAGGTCATGCCACAGCATCTCAATCGGGTTGAGGTCAGGACTCTGACTGGGCCACTTCAGAATGTGTATTTTCTTCTGTTTAAGCCATTCTGTTGATTTACTTCTATGCTTTGGGTCATTGTCCTGTTGCAACACCCATCTTCTGTTGAGCTTCAGCTGGTAGACAGATGGCCTTAAGTTCTCCTGCAAAATGTCTTAATAAACTTGGGAATTCATTTTTCCTTCGATGATAGCAATCTGTCCAGGCCCTCACGCAGCAAAGCAGCCATTAGTCTAGTGGTTCACATACTTCTTCCACCTGCACTGTGAATGTTTACATGGTGTGTTCAATAAAAACATGGCAACATTTCATTCTTTGTGTGTTATTAGTTTAAGCAGACTGTGATTGTCTATTGTGACTTAGATGATGATCAGATCACATTTTATGACCAATTTGTACAGAAATCCATATCATTCCAAATGGTTCACATACTTTTTCTTGCAACTGTATGTATTAGGCAGTATGTGCCTATTGATGTATGCATTAGGCCAGGGCTGCCAGATAGGTAGATCCCTAGATGTTGAAGAACTACAACTCCCATTATGCTTTGTCATTCTAAAGGCATGCATATCATCATGGAAGTTGTAGTTCCACAACATACATCTACCTGTTGGGCAGCCCTGTATTAGGCAGTATGTGTGTATTGATCTATGCATTAAGCAGTATGAGTTTATGAATGTATGTATTAGGCTGTGTATGTGTGGATTTATGTATTGGGCTTTGTGCGTATGATTAATTGTATATAATAGGCAGTCTGTGTGGATGGATAGATGTAGTAGGCAGTGTGTGTGTATATGGATGCATTTACTGGATGAGTGCTTCTGAGCAGTGTGTTTTCTTCCCTAAATGTCTCTTCATTGCAATTCAGAATTTAGTGAATAAACCTGTGAGAGAATGCAGTTGCCTTCATGAGGGGGCGGCAAAATGGATTGTTGCCTAGGGCGGCAAGAATCCTTGCACCAAGCAGCAGGACATTCAAACCCCCATGGCTGGGATCCAGCAGCCACCCGGGATTTTGTATCTAAACGCACCAATCTGC